CTGAAATCCAATTGATGAAAATCTATCAAATGTTGCTCATATGGCAACTACCATGATCTATACTCCAAATGTATTACTTTTGCCATATATATTGACAATAAAGTTTTTTACTTTAAAAATTACATTACACACATAAAAATTAGTGTAACATTTCGAATGTCCACCATGCTGCATTCACTATTAAAAACATACGTGTAACACCCCTTTACTACATGTGTAACCCCCTTTATGACAGTGTCAAAATACTTTGGGCTGCATGTATAGGTCTGGGTGCTGTGAAGATTAGTGAAAGCGTCATTGACGATTGATCAATCTCTGTAAACTCCAGAAGCCATATGCCCCCTCCCCAGCAATTCAGTTGCATCATTGTATCATCAGGGGATGAGGTCAGATTAGCCTTTGTACATGAGGAATGAGCAAATGACTGTAACTGTTCAAGGTATCAACATCTGCTAATTTCCAATGACCAAATGTCACGTATCGAAATGTTTCATATTTAAATGTTTCTTTTTCAATGGTGTGCTGCCTTGACATCTTGTAATTATAATAATATTAATGTTGATTACAAAAAGCAAAATACCAATTGTTTACCATCTTGATGAGAATCTTATAATTACCGAGCAAGATCTGCTCTGTGTTTTGATTTCAATTATAATATTTATATAAAAATTTTTTATATATGCATGTAATTTTCAAAATTCTTTATCATATCCCATTGGGGTGTTAGATACAAATATAATCACAAACATAGGGGAAACCAAATAATAAAATCAATTAGTAAGGGTTTTGTACCACATAAATATGTTGATCAAATTTTAAAAATATATATTTTTTTGCTATTTACAGTATTAACAAGCGGGAAACTTAAAAAGTTTATAACTTTGGAAGCAACATAGCTACAAAAAAAATTGAAAGTGTTTTTAATCTTTAAGAATCTTATCTACAACATAACAATGCTATTTTTTTTGTTTAATATAATTTTTTTAAATTTTTATGTATTGATAGTTATTTGGAATTTATGACAAAACAACATGAAAGTCATCAATGTTAATAAATATTTTTAAAATATGGCTCTGTTAAATTGTAGAGACATATTCTGTGAGCTCAAAACATTTTTTCAGAATTAAAAATTCTTGTCTGTATGATGAGTTATAACAGTTTTCATGAAAAGCGATTTTCTTTAATAATTTAAATATAAATTAAAATGGATTTTAACAGTCGGGAACTTAAAACGTTTATAACTTTGGAAGCAAAATAGCTACAAAAAAAATTGAAAGTGTTTTTAATCTAAGAACCTTATCTACAACGTAACAATGCTATTTTTTTTTGTTTAAATATAATTATGGTGAGTTAGAACAGTTTATGCAAAGGCAATTTTCTTATATTAACAATCAAAATCTTAAAACGTTTATAACTTTGGAAGCAAAATAGCTAGAAAAAAAATTTGAAGTGTTTTTAATTGTTAAGAACCTTATCTATAACGTAACAACGCCATTTTTTTTGTTTATTATGATTTTTTAAAATTTTGCATTAGTAGAAATCTAGAATTTATGACAAAAATTGCTTTTTCAATATGAAGGTACATTAATATTGGTAAATATGGCTCTGTTACATTGTAGATACATACTTTGCAAGCTCAAAATATTTTTCAGAATTAAAAATCTCATCTGTATGGTGAATTATAACAGTTTACGTTTCTTTAATTAATTAATAGTAATTTGAGTTTATGAAAATGATCGACAAAAAATCTCTACTATTAGGTTTTATTATTTGGTTTCCCCTATGTTTGCGATTATACTTATATCTAACACCCCAATTTGAGATGTACAAAGTAACTTGGGATTTGGGGTTCTTTGGTTTTTAATTTTGCAGCACCTATAATTGCTACACTAACCATGGTGTGGAAATACGACTACAAATGAAGAGGAAGAGAAATATTGTCAAAGCTACTTTTTTTCAAAATAGTTTGGACCAGTAACCTTAGTAATAGCACACCTCATTCTGTTTTCTTCCTCTTGGTAAATTTCATAAGTAATCCTTTCTTTCCTTGGATAAGCTTCCAGTGTCTGAATATTATTTATTTTGAAATATAAGGTGCTATTCACCTTGTTCCTTTTTTATAGGGATGTCAACCAGTCTTTTGGGAATGAGTCCCAAAAAGTCCAGGACTGAATTGTTTCAGGTTCGGTCCTACCAGGACTTAAAGTCCCTATAAGTCTTTGTGTAACATTAATATTTAAAAAAAATTTCATGTGATTATACATGAAGTCAAAACTATTTTGACTATTTGCAGATCTGGTCAAAATAGGGTCGAAATAAGGTCAAAACTGATTTTTACTATGTAGTTGTCTCAAGTCAAAACATTTTGACTTTGGGGTTTTAATTTTGACTTCATGTATACATGTGATATATATAATTTTTTCAAATGTCATCATCAATTGAAATAGCTTTAAGGTTGATGGCAAATTTGATCTTTACAAAGACACTTACAACAAAATTGAAGCACAAAAACAATCACAACCTTTTGTTTTCATTAATGACTATGATAAAATATTGATGATGTATTGTATTCAGAAAAATATAATTTATCTTTAGAAGCCCATCAATAAATTCAACATCAACATGTAGTTATTTTAAAAGATCATTTCAAATCACTATAATCAATCAACTTCAAACAATGAATTTATCAAAAGATAATCAGAAATGCCAGAAGAAGTAAATTGCCTGGGCAGTATTTTACAAGATCTAAAGATCCCAATTATACTGTTTTGTCACATATGGCTTGTGATTTTTTTTTCAATACAAGCAACTAATGTGTCAAATGAGTCAACTTTAGCATAACTAAACACAAATTAAGCCCAGTTCATAATAAATTGGATCCTGAAAAGGCATGAGCAAGTTTATGTCTTAAAAATTGGATTGAAGCAAAGATTGTTTCAATATAAAATATATTAAATATATTTTTATAATATAATTTTTTTTATATTTACAAAATTTTATAATAATATATAATAAAAGTATATAATAAATATTTTTATTAACTATTTGAAAAAGTTTGGACTTTTTCTGGGACTTTAAGTCCAGGACTGATTAACATCTCTACTTTTTTAAAATACTTCTAATAGTAATATAATTCTTGGGCTCCATGGTAGACCTAATATAAATTAACTTCATATTAATTATTTTTATATAGGGGTAATTCTATATACCACTTAATATTAAGAAAAAAACAAAGATAACAAATGAGAATAATCACATTACTAAATTTTGATTCCTAAAATTATTGGTAATACTAATGTTCACTTTGTCTGGTTTTGTTGCAGTATACCCCATATAAGGTTGCTTGCTGAAACCTCTTAATGACTGCTGAAACTCTGTCAAAGCTCTAATAAACAATTGGTGTGTAACCAACTGAACTTTGCTGATTGATTTCTGAGAGAGTTTTGGCAAGCAACCATAGCATCTCATGACTTTAAGCATGAATTGATAATGTGCAATGTTGACTTTCTACTTCTGATCTTCTGTTGTGATGTTGCTATTTTTGAAAAAGAAAAAATTAATTATTGCCATTTTTGTTATTTTTAAATAAAAGTTAAGACTTACCATAAAAATTGTTCACATCCATGCTTCTGTAAGATTTATCATTGGCAACATAAGAGGAGCAACATGATCACTTAAAACTGACTCAATCCATAAATCAAACAATGTTTGAGGAAATTGTGAATCAAGTTTTGCATCCACAAAGATGCTTTTTACCATGCTCCCCATTTCTTTAGGAACCTCTACATTGTTTTAATAATCATCAACATCCTCTCCCTTTTCTTATATTTTTTCCATTACAGATAAAAATTCTGTAACTTGTGAATCCAATCTTGTAAGTATCAATGGTAATAATAATACAGATCTGAAAATTGATGCCCCAATTGAAAATTTTTTATAAAATTTTGGCACCACATATGTTGTTGGTGCTAATATAGGAAGTGCACCAGGTTGTAAAAAATTCGTGATTTTTGAGATTTCTTTGACATTGATCAATGGTTGATTAAGATGTTTACTTAAGATATTTTTTTATAAAATTCAACAAATTTTTTACAATCCTTTTCCTTTATTATTGTGGCCTAAAGACTAGTGCCGTAATCCAAAAAAGGAAAAAGTATGGTTGCAAAAGTGGTTGCAAAGGTAATTGCAACCACTTTTTATATGCCGTAGATACAATTACTACCATCATCATAATTTACGGCACTAGTCTTTATTGTGGCCATTCTTGGTGGTATTGGTGATAGTGGATTTAGATCATGAAATATTGACTGTGCAAAATTATCAGCATAATCAATTATAACTGTGTCATCTAAATTCATTAGATTGTCCTCAAAATATTCATATGCAGCCTTCTTGACTTCATTTCAGTCAATATATTTATCAGCATTCCGATCAATTCAAAAGTGGAGCAACTAGATATGAAAGTTGATCAATTTCATATATATACAAGTTCTTTGCCTAGTCATCAGAAAAACCAATTCCATATATTCTACATATAATTTCCATATGTGGGGTTCTCTAGCAAAAGATAGCTTAAGTGTCCCCTGACCAAAATTGAGTTTTTTGCATAATATGCATTTATATTATAAGGATTATAACTGGTGAAAAAATCAGGTCTTGTTTACTTAATAAAAAAAAAAAATGAGTAATTGGGCAACAAAGAATTTTTTAAATTAATTTGCAAAATAGATTTGAATTGATCTACAACCCCATATTTTATTTGTTACACGAAATTAGATAAAAAAACTTATTATATATACAATCAATATAAAGTCAGAAATATAAAACAATCACCAATAAATTATAAAATACCTTTTAGTTTTTGCTGAATCCATCTACAAAAATTCTTCATGATTATTAAATTTCTATAAAATAGTTTTTTGTGAACCTCTCTAAAACTTATTAGCAATATACCCATAAAGTAATAACCATATGAAGCTTAAAGTATTCTACACCTTCTCATTTACTATCAAGTCTTTTAAAGCAATATTGAGCTTTGAAGTGAAAAAGTAATACCATTTTTGAGTAACCATGAATTCATGTAGAGAAGACCTTTCGATATGAAAGATTATTCATTAGAAAGCTTTAATGGAGTACTTTCATTTTACTTTAACAACGAAGTTTGAGTTTATTATAAAAATAATGAGATATTTTAAAAAAACTTCATGTGACATGAATTTCAAATTTATTTTCACATATAGAAAATCAATTGATGTGACATGACTTTAAGCTTAAATTCTAATGAATAAATTTTGAACTTAAATAACAGACTTTCAAAATTATATTTAAATCAAATTAACTTCTTAATCTTTCTTTGTAATGGGCTTGTGAATGGTTTTATATAGAAAGTTGTGACAATTTACTGCTAGAAAGAACAAAAATATACCTTTTCTCATTTGTATCAAAATTTTCCATTTTTTTGTAACATGTAATGTATATACTTGAAACTATTTATATTCACTTGAACAGCCACATCCAAAATCAAGGTATTCATCATCTTTCTCAATTTTTTCTAAAACAATTTGTGCTGCGAGTTTTATTGATATTGTATCACTCTTGGAGCTTGCTTGTCCAACTACAGAATCATGAATTGATAATGTGCAATGTTGACTCCCTACTTCTGAATCTTCTGTTGTAATGCTGCTATTTTGAAAAAAGAAAAAAGTAATTAATTATTGCCATTTTTGTTATTTTTTTTAAAAAAAAATAAAAGGTTAAGACTTACATGTTCATATAAATGCAATTTTTTTGCACTTTTATAAAGTGTTTTGTTGCAAATGATTTTAACACATTCTTTAGTAAGTTTACTCATGTTCACTTCAGAAGAAACATATAATCTAATGGTCACACAGAATTTTAAAAATGAATCACCATTTCCATATTTGCAGATGAAGTAGTTAAGGCTGACAGCAAATACTCATTATTGATTGGTAAAACTAATCTATTTTTCAATTCTAAGGCCAAAAGTTGTGAATCCAATCTTGTGAGTATTGATGGTAATAACAATGCTGATCTGAAAATTGAAGCTTCAATTGAAAAATTTTTAACAAATTCTGGCATCAGATATGTTGTTGGTGCTAACATAGGAAGTGCGCCAGGTTGTAAAAAATTTGTGAATTTTGAGATCTCTTTGACATTGATCAATGGTTGATTAAAATTTTTTACTCCAAGATTGGATATTTTTTTATAAATTCAACAAAATTTTTACAACCTTTTTCCTTCGTTATTATGGCCATTCTTGGTGGTATTGGTGATAATGGATTTAGGTCATGACATATTGACTTACAAAGTAATATTTTAAATTATCAGCATAATCAATTATAATTGTGTTATCTAAATTCATTAGATCAACCTCCAAATGTTCATATTCAGCCTTCTTGACTTCATTCCAGTCAATATATTTATCAGCATTCTGACTAATTTGTGAATGTGGCAAAAGTGGAGCAACTAGATATGAAAATTGATCATTTTCATAAACAAGTTCTTTGCCTAGTATTGATGTAAATAAACGTAATGTAAATTTGAGAAGCATTTCTAACTTCTCTGCACCGATTTTGATTGGTTTTGGTGTGAATACACATTCAAGATTTTAGTGCTTGAATTAAAAAATAATGCACTTGATTGAATTTGGGGGAGTTGTTTGTGACTTAGCAAACATAAGGTATGATAATGCTCCCCATCATATTTTTCATTATCCAACTCCAATTTTATTATTGCAATGTATAGTTCCCCCGGAGTTGCTTTGTTATCAGCTGACCACAGATCTGGCCTTTTTATGTTATATGTTGTTGAATGACTATGTTTGCATCATTTAGGGGCTCATCATGTCCATCACTATTGCTATTTTTGTAGTAAAATGAGTTAAAAAGTTTAGAGAGTTGATAATAAAATAATAATTCTCTAATAATACTTACAAATTACTTTCAGATAACTGGGCTAGATTTTTAAACTTCTTTTTGCCATTTTTTATATTAAATATTAAAGAAGATAAAGAAAATTTAGCGCAAAACACAAAAAAAAAATTTTTTTAAGGAACATATGTTGTACAAACCCCCATTTTAAAATTTTTTGGACGGGAGATGAAGAAAATTGGGTATTCAACAAATGATTTGTATATTTGTTTTGCATTAACATTATTAACATTAATATTCAATGATCATAAGTGTTGAAGCAAAAAGAGCTGAAAATTTCTCTTTGGACAATTAGGGAAACCAAGAAACAAATCAACATGTAACATTTGAGGCTCAGGACTTGAATATTCAAACATTAACTGCCTTCCTTGAGTGCATAAGGCTAATCAGACCTGCTCCACCTGGTGATACAACAATGCAAATAAATCCCAACGGAACGGGAATAATCCTAAATGGGGAGGGAGCTTGGCCCTGGGATTTATTAGGATTACATTGTTGTGGAGTGTTTAAAGCCTCTTGCTCATCCAAAGTCTATTGGCATATCCAATTCCCCTTTCTCCTGTGGAAAAAATCTCATAGTGCTGAATTGTGCATAGTGATTGCATGATTGTGAAAGGAAATGATCAAGGTTGGTATTGGACCATACATGTTGGCCAAAATTACTTCTGTTAGTAAATGATCATTGCCAAAATAGTTTTCAAAGTAGCCAAAAATTAATTTTAATAGTGGCCAAAATTATATCCAAAATTATTTGAATTCTTTGATTCAATAGCCAAAACTCTGGGTGGTTTTTTTATGACCATTAATATAGGGAATATGGGAAAGCCAGAATGTTGCCAAAATATTTGGCAAATGCAAAACCAATCTTGGCTAACATGTATGTATTGGATACAGATACTATCCGATGCCTGGAGCTTCGAATCCACCACCACCCTATACATTGACAATAATATTAAGTATAGGACCAATAACAACATCACAAACAACCATGTACAACCTTCACTCAAGCAATTCCATCTCCAAAAGTCAAAACCTTGGCTGAGATCTAACAATTAATTTCCAAGACCTACTCTGCCTGTGATCAATATCAGATTTGTTCATTCTATTTTTTGGGATTTTGAGAATGATCATTAAGGAACTCTCCAGCTTGTATGAAATTGGAAGGAAAAATAATTTTATTCCAAAAATTATTTATTTATTTATTTTGGTGTCCTGGATAGATGCACATTATTATGCAGTCTTTTTTAAAATTGGTTCCTTAAAATTTTCATTTCTGCATGGTATTATTACTCAGGGTGATGCAATTATTTACTATGAATAATAATACAATCACCATTAATAGACATGAATAGTGATGGCAAAAGCATTTGCATTCAAGGAAATAATTAAATAACAACAAAAAGATAAGTAATGTTTGTTTATTTTGGTTCAACTAAGAGAAAGATACATAGTAGTGATTTTAATTTAATTTATATATATATATATAAATATTAAATATTAAAAAAACATACAATATAAAAAACTACCAGGGCAATCATATTGGAAACTATTAAAGAGAATATAAAATAAGTTTTTTACCTGCAAGTATAATTACTTATTAATAATAATAATGACACAATTCTGACATACAAGATCACAGAAGCCTCAAACTTTTACTTTTAAGTAAATTATTGATCAATTTTACCAAAATATAAAGAAAATTTAAAGTGATATATATATATATATGTTAATTAAAATATAAAATAGATTTTCCATAAAAATGGGTTTTGTGCACAGTCACATGACTTTTTCTATTTTAAATTGATTTCGTCACAACTGATAAAACGAATGCTTTACATGAGCTTAAGAACTTAAGAAAATTGCATTATCAAAATGATCAAGTGCATTTTTATCATGTGTCCAGTCTAAAAAAAATGTTTACAGGGAAGATGATTTCATTTTAAAAGGTAAACTCTGTGACGAAGTGATTTGCATTGTAGGAAACAGACAGGGGCATGCTCCAATTCATTCATGAATCAGTGATTATATATAAAAAGAAATCATTTAGTTATCGCTTATACATTGTCAAGTCTTCTATCTATCTACAAAGTCAATTGAAATATTTATATCACAAAAGTAAAAAAACAAATAGTATTTATACAAGCTTTTTGATAATAATATTATGAATATATATAACAAATGGACTGATTAAAAAAATAAATATATAAAGAAAAAATAAAATTGATAGATATATAAAGAAAAAATAAAACTGATGATGATATGATTAATAACAATAACTTCAAGAAACGTCCTTGTCTATTAGTTCATCATCATCCGATGATCCTTCAAAATATACAACTTTAATAAAATTACCATATGCAACTGCAACTCCCTCTTCACCAACTTTAACAACTTGCCGTATATAAGCAAATGGTAATATTTCATTCTTATCATTTTCATCTTCAAAATTTAGCAAGCTTTGTTCATTACCATTATTATTTCTACTTTTATCATTATCTGAATTAACCTTATTAATCATTACACTACCATATCTTTTTTGTGCTTTTTGAATATTCAAGTCGTCATCATCATCATCATGGTGATGATGATGATTGCTCAGACTAGAAGCAAATGCTTTATTAGTGATTATGGGACCACCATTATTGTTGTTGTTGTTGTTGTTGTTATTGATTGTAATGTTTCTACGTTTTCTAACAAATCCTTTAAGTTCAACAGAACTTGCTTTTTCTTGTAATTTAAGTTGTTCATTTTTATGTTTTTGTTGTTCTTCAAATAAATCTTTCTCATTAACTAAAGAAATTGTCTGAACTGATAATTCAACAAGATCATCCTCTTCATCTTCATCTTCATTATCTATATCATTATTATCACCTGTACAAAGATTATTTGATTCGATAGCTTGAGGTTCATTAATATCCAACATCCATACCTCCCATTCACCTTCAGCTCCATGACATTGTTTATTCTTTGAATTTTTAACTTTTCTTACACCAACCACATGCTCTCTAGCAAGTACAATTGCTGAACCACCAAGTTGACTTATATGTCCTATGAATTTGGATTGATATGATACAACACCATTCCATTCTGCTACTTTTTGATGATTGTTAAGTTGATTTGAAACATTATTTTTGAATCTTGTTAAATTATCATTTATATTATTTGTTACAGATGTTATTGATGATGGCGATAAATTTTTTTTATTGGCTTTATTATTAGAGAGATGGTAATCAAAATTTAATGAAATACATGTACAATCCATCACATTACGAACTAATTGCCAGACAAGAACTTTTTCATCAACTGATGAAGTAACAATTGTAAAACCACCTGGTTCTTCAGTATTACCACATGGACAGCTTTTTTCTTTAAGTGGATGAATTATTATATTTGTTATAGAATCTTCATGTGACAATTCATCATCTTCACTATCATCTTCATCTGTATCATAATCTTCATAATCATCATCATCCCATTCTTGATCTGAATTTTGAAAATGTATATTACCATTAATTTTGCCATTACCATTAATAAAACCATTACTATCAAAACGATATTGTTGTTGAAGCAAAGAGTGTTTTTGTAATGTTGGTTTTTTATGTTTTTTTTTAGATTTCTGTTTTGCAAGTAAACCTTTACTCAATGTTACAATAAGTTTACTTGTTCGGTAATCATATACATTAACCTGGCCATCAGAAGTACCAGTCACCAAAATACCAATACTATCCTTTTTAATTATTTTGGTTGCAATACATGTTATAGCATAATTTGGTCTTCCAGGTATTGTGTATAATAGATCCCATCGAAACTTATGTGGTTGTGATGATGAAGAATCATTACTGTTATTGTGATTATTGCTTGGAGTTGATTCATTACTATGAGGATAATGTATATTTCTAGCCCAACATTTTACTGAACCATCTCTAGCACCAGTTAAAACCACTAATTTATCGTGATTATAATCTTGCTTTTCATCTTCACCCACAACACAAAGATAAGTTATGCCACCTTTTTGATGTGTGAATATTGTATGTACAACTTGACCAGACACAAGATCCCATTCACGAAAATAACCATTACGATATGTTGCAAGCAAAATAACAGATGATTTGTTATTTTCCAGCGAAGATAATGAAGAAGACCTTGACATAAAAGTGTTTGAATAGTTATTATGATTAAGATTACCATTATGATCATCTTCACCATCACAGCTGGATGATGATGAGTTGTAAGATGGCAATGAAGGAGAAGCAATGAATTTTAGACAAGTGACACGTTCTTTTGTTGAATAACTGCTCATTGTATTTATAAGTGACTCAACATCTTCCACGGTATCTTTTAATATAAACATAGCTTGACCAGAATTTAAGTCCCAAACTCTCACAACACCATCTTCAAAACCAGCAGCAGCCAAATCAGTTTGTTCACTCATACACATTGCTCTAACAGGCCATGATATACATTTCTTTCTTCCACCAGTAGTTTTACACTTACATGTGTCACACCTCCTCAAGTAACGCTCGAGCTTTTTTAATGGAATGCCTTGTTTTCCATTCCATGAGGTAATATGTTTGTCAATCCCTGTTGAGATTATCTTATTGTAAGAGTTAGCACATAATAAGTCCACATCAGCAGAATGACATCCTCTCAATGTGACAACACGAGGAGTAGCAAAATATTTAGTAGATGTTGAAGTTGTTTCTATTGATAAGCCATTGATTTTATTAGCATTATTATAATTGTTGTTCTTACTATTATTGAAATTTGATGGCAAAGAAATTCTATTTTGATTATTAGATATTGAATACATGGGTTTTAACTTGTCAGTTTGATCAGATGTTGATACTAGACTACTAAC